TAGTCTTTCCCCAATTTGTAAAACCGTACTTGGCCATATAAGATGGAATTTTCATTTGTAAAAGATACTATGGTTTTTGAATGTATATTTTGAAGTTGAATGATGATATACATTACAATGGATGGAGATTGTGGATCAGACAGACACTGAGTTTTCCATTTTTCAAGAGTTAAAAAAGTATACTGTACTATGTCTAGGCGAATGAAGTGAGGCTTGCCGGATGCTTGCCTATCTTTCAGAAATGGAAGGCATCCAGGTCATGGCTGGACATGACTTGTCTCTTTAAGGATCTGGAAAGCTGAACTAAGCATCTCTAACTAATCCACAGTGCTTTCCAGTTATTCTGTCTGTTTCTACCTGGAGAATAGGGGTTGGGAAAAAAATTTTCTCATCACTGAAACTTGGTATTGCCTGCTCTTCCTCACATGCAGGAACAACTCGTTCGATGAAGCTTGAGGCTTCCGCCTGGCTTTTATGATCTAGTTATAGCACTTCATCATTCCTGACCTTTTCCTTGAGCATGTTATTAGCTTGCCTGTTTAGAAAACTAGCTCTCTATTCCATTAGTTTGTAATTTGAATTGTGATAATGAATCATAAAAAACAGTACATTTTTTATTCTTAACTTTTGGTAAAGTCTTTTATTTATTCAGTTGAAGATTACTTTGCTAGTCTTCTGTAGCATTGTACTGGACCTAGTTGTTGTTCATAGTAGTGAAATGATAGACTCTCAGTTTAACAGTAAGGAGACCTAGGTGCAGTCAACTAGCTAATATACAGAACAGTTACATGTGTTAATTACAGGAACAAACAACAGGCTTTGGGGGTAGAAATGTAGAGATGAAAGCTAACAGGAAAGTCTTATGAGAGAGCATTTAAACTGAACTTCCAAGGATAAATCCATTGTGATAGTGAAGAAGAGCCCAACATCCAAACTTTGGAAATAGTAACGAAAGTTGGCCGACTTTGATATTAAAAAGGAGAACTCTTTAATTTTAAAAGCCAACTAAGCTATAAGCCAATTATAGCCCAAAAATATGGGGAAAGGGGAGAGGGAGCAGAGGGTAGGAGGGAGGTTGGATGGAGGGAGGGTGATTGGTGGGATCACCCCTATGGTTCATCTTATAAGGGTACATGTGAATCTTTCTAAATGTAGAATATAAATGTCTTAACACAATAACTAAGAAAATGACATGAAGGCAATGTTAACCAGTTTGATGAAAATATTTCAAATTGTATATAAAAACAGCACACTGTACCCCATGACAGTATTAATGTACACAGCTATGATTTAATAAAAAAAAAAAAGCCAACTATGGTTGAGATAAATGTGATTTTAAACAGTAGAATGTCAGTAACATAATGAATTAATGTTATGCTCTTGTAGCATTGTTTGTCCAGGATCATTACTAAGTACCTAAATTATTTTTGTGCATTATACTTAGTTTATATTTTAGACCAAAGTAACAATGACAACCAAAACAAAAGTTTTTTTCTGTATTTGATTTATGGTTTTCTAAATTTAAGATAGGGTTAAACTGATTTGTTTACATTGTATTGGTTATGTATGCAGTCAGCAACTTTATTACTATAGTATAGCTGTCAGAGTAGTTGGTCTTTGAAAGATTGCTTTCTGAGAATTACTACAAATAAGATGTTCGAAGGGTCTGCCAATGAATGCTTTGTTACATTACATGGATTCTGTTAATATTTGGTTTCACAAAAAGTACTATCAAGTTAAAAATTGCTCTGATGGTTATCTGCTCTATTATACTATTCCTCCCACCTGCTTTCCACATCCTTAAGACATCAAAATATCTTGTCTTTTTTGTTTTTTGGTTTGAGCATTTGCCTTTTTCTCAGTTCTTTCTAGATGCTTCTTGTGTATTGATGATTTTAATCTCTCTTCTGTCATATATGTTAGCAGTGCTTCCCTAGCTTTTGTATGCATTTTATTTTTACTGCTGGTTAAGTTGTGTTTGAATACCTGTGGAGTCTGTTTTTTGTTTGTTTCTTTGCTTAGAAAGGCTTTACTCATTTTAAGGTCTGAAAATACAGATTTATGTTTCCTTAAAATCAATTTTTATTTTTTAAAATAGATGTTGCTTATATTGCTTCATATTTTGTTTTATATGTAATATGAGATGATCCAATATTTTGTTGGTAATCTGTGGTTTCAAAACCGTTCATTAAAGATTATGATATATATGATCACTTACAGTATAGATGCCAGTATATAGTGAACTGTGTGGCAACATCTAACATGGAGTCTGGGACAAGTTTTCGTTACCTAATGTCTGACCTGTGAATCGTTTCTTCAGTTCAGAGGAGGGTTATGAAGGTTATGACTAGATGATGCCCTAGTCATAATCATTGAGCAGAGTCTTTTGCAGTCACTGTAGGAGTTTTAGGGAGGTATTTTGATTGGTAGGATTCTTCATCTCAATCCTGATTTTCTGTATAATAATACAATCTACTTGTGAATTTCAGTCTTTTGGTTTCCTCATTTATAAGTCTAATGTATTTTTATAGCCTATAGGGATATGTTGAATGTACATATTTGCAATATACATACTGGTATCTGAATTTTAAAATATTTGACGCCAGGTTAGGATTTATATGAAACTTATAAGTTGTAAGCATTTTTCCCTAAAGCTAAGGTAAACAAAATCACGTTCTTAGAAAAATTATATTTATAATGATATATATGTATGTATGTATAGATTGAGCATCCAAAATCCAAAATGCTTCAAACCTCACTTTTTGAGTGCCAACATGACACTGAAAGGAAATGCTCACTGAACCATTTTGGGGGTTTGGATTTGGAATGCTTAACCAGTAAGTATAATGCAAATATTCCAAATCCTGAAAAAATAAAAAGTCTAAAGCATTTCTTGTCCCAAGCATTTCAAATAGGAATAATCAACTTGTATGTATGGTACCTTAGCTTTTATGTCAAGCTTTTTGTATGAAAATGTTAAGTGTGGCATGTGTATTTTTAATAAATTATTTATACTTAATAGAATGAATATAAAATTGGTAAAATACCTTAATATCTAACTTAATGGAATAAGTAGTCACTTGAAAATTTTTATTTATATTTTAATGAAGCTGTGTAATCACTTATAGATTATACAAAATGTATTAAATCAATGCATTTAGCCTTTCATTAGTACTGCTTTCAATTCTCAATATTATTTACATGTTAATCACAGTCTTTATGTCTAGAAGTTTCAGGTTTGAGAGGGATAATATGGTAGGATATGTATTTTTAGATTCTTATGTAGCTTTTAAACGTTCATTTAAATGAAGCTGAACTTTAATAGAGTTAGATACAATGAAATTATAACAAAATTTGAGGGGGCTTTTGTGATACATATTGACTCAATTGTTTGTGTGACCTTTAAGGTAACTACATTACACAGAACTTAATGGCCATATACTTCATAATATTGTTCCACAGAGGTTAGCCTACCCTACAGGCTAAAGAACTTCATTCAGTCTGTGTCAAACTAAATCAAGGTAGTGCAGCTCTGCTTCCTGGTAACATAGTTTTTCAAGTTTGAGAAGATATAAAGAATGTGATAGAAATATATTTATGTATATTACCAACTCACTGATGTTTGATGTTATCTGCTTCTATTTTTTTTTTTTCAATACCACTAGTCTTTCTCTCTTCATTTGCCCTAATGAAACACTTGTAGCTCCCCAAATGCCTGGCTTACTTTTGTCTTCTTGGTTCTGAGTCTTGTTCTTGCTGTTGTCTTCCTAAAGTATTGTCTTTTTCAAACTCAGAATAGATGTTTCTCTGTTCTCAGATGGGGGTATATTCTGTATGCAATAGAAAATCTAGTTCACAGATAAGAATTTTTCTTGAACCATATGGGACTTAACAGTCTCTATCACAACTACTCAGTTGTACCTTATAGCATGAAACCAGCTATAGTATACATGAATGTATGGCAATAAAATTTTATAACACTAATCAGGTGCCTCAGGCCATACTTTGTTAACCTCTGACGTTATTCATGGTTATAGTTTTATCCAATTTAAGTGGATTTGGATGGATTTAGATGGTAGACCACTGTGTTTATATTAGCTCTCTCCCAAGGTATAATTAAATTTACAGTTTAAAGGAAACAGTGTAACTTTTAATGCCATTTGTACAATGCAATGCTATTCAGCCCTAAGAAGGAAATCCTGTCATTTGCAACAACATGGTTGAAGTTGGAGGACACTGTGTTAAGTGATATAAGTCAGGCATAGAGAGATAAATACCGTAGGATCTCACTTACACATGCCCTATGTGAAAAAGTCAGACTCATAGAAGCAGAGAGAAGGGTGGTTGTCGGGGCAGTGATTGAGGAAATATTGGTCAAAGGGTACAAAATTCGAGTTAGATAGTATGAATAAATTCGAGATATCTCTTGTGCAACATGATAACTATTGTAAACAATATATTCTTGAAAAATGCTAAGAGTGTGGATATAAAATGTTTTACTACAAGAATGGTGCTTACTGTGAGGTAATGCGTCTGTTAGATAGCTAGACTGAGTCATGTCACAGTGTAGACATACTTCAGAAGTATCTATAATAGTACTTGATAAATACATACAACTTTATGTGTCAGTTCTTTGAATTATTTTTAAATGGTAGCATCTATTACAACTTTTACTACCACCAGGGTTTGAAGTTACTATTTTCATGGCAACCCAAATAGTGATTTCTAAATTTTGAAATAATTTTAAAAGTTGCTTCCTCTCCAGAAAACTTACACTAAATAGGATTTTTTTCTGTTTTACTAAACTTTCTAAAATTAATTTTTAGGAACACTTTTCGAAAATGATTTGGCAGTATAATATGGAGAGCCAGGATGATGTCTGTTTTGATCTTCTTAATTAAAGGGAAGAATAGTTGGTGTTTTGAAGTGTGTACATTCTTATTTCATCAAATGCATTGAGATACTAAAAAGCAAATAAAAATACTTTTTATGTTTTCCAGATTACTGCTCGGTTGTAACAATTGTGGACCAGACAAATGTAAGGTTAACCTGCCTGCTCTTTAGTGGAAACTATGAAGCCCTTCCAATAATTTACAAAAATGGAGATATTGTTCGTTTTCACAGGCTGAAGGTATAATTTGTACTGTCAAGAACTTACATTTGTTTGAAGAGAACACTGTATTGTTCATTAAAGCTGGTTAGCATTAATTATATGGTTGCTTTGTTAGAATGTGACATCAAGTTTTTCAGTAGCTAAGAAGAAATGTAAATAGTATCAGACTTCCAATAACTTACAGTAGATAACTTCATCATTGGAACAAACCGCATGCCCTGCTTCCCCAAGACTAGCTCCTGTCTGTCATCTCATTTCTAAATATAGAGTCATGCTATAAAAGTTTTACCTGTAGAATTTGATAAAGAACTTTTAAAAAAAAAAAAAAATCTTAGGTCAATAAGAAAAAATGTACATGAAAATTAGAAGATTATACTGTTCATTTTACAAGGAAAACATTGAGATAACAAATACAAAATCATATCTAGTTGATCTTCATTTATGAGAATTATGTTAAAATATGAAAATACTTTTAAAATTATACTTACAGTTAAATAATTAAAGAAAATGTTATGTGAAAGAGCCTATTACATAACATTTCTTTAAATAAGAACTTTAGAATTGTAGTCAAGGCTACGGCTCGGTGCCTGTGGCTCAAGTGGCTAAGGCGCCAGCCACATACACCTAAGGTGGCGGGTTCAAATCCAGTCTGGGCCCGTCAAACAACAATGACGGCTGCAACCAAAAAAATAGCTGGGCGTTGTGGCAGGCACCTGTGGTCTCAGCTACTTGGGAGGCTGAGGCAGGAGACTTGCTTGAGCCCAGGAGTTGGAGGTTGCTATGAGCTGTGATGTCACAGCACTCTACCCAGGGGGACAGCTTGAGGCTCTGTCTCAAAAAAAAAAAGTTAAGACTGCAAAGTATTGTTATTTTCTCAAAATTATTTTTTTTGTTCCTATAAGTGTTTCTTTAATTGAGCTTTTTTGTTCAATACAATTTTCAAATTTTTCTTTGGAAATTAATAATAGGTCATTAAATACGATATGTCCTGTTTCAAATAGGAAAGTTTAGTTTATTATATCTCAAACAAAAAGCAGTACAAATTTAATGAACAACTCTGACTTAAAGGCACTTTATGCAGCGTACACACAAAGAAAAGCACCCTAAATAAATCATGGGGAATCCATTGAAAAACCAGGGCAACAATTATTTTGAAATCAACCAGAAAAATGATACATTCCATATCAAGGAATAATGATACCAATTATCTTTGATTTCTTGCCAGAAGTAATGGCTCCCATAAGAGAATCCATGCCCAGCATATCTACGTATAAGAAATGCTAAAGAATGGTGTTTAAGCCAAAGGAGAATGTTACTAGAAACTTAATAACAAGTGACCCCAAAAAAAAGAAGAAATGATGAAAAAGATGATAAATATGAAAGACAGTTTTTTCCATAATTTCATTAAGACAAATCACTACTTTCAGTAAAAGCAATCATATTAGAAGGTGAAGTTTTGAAGTATGTAGTAAATTTGATGGCAGTAACAAAGGATAGCTGGGAAGATTAAATGGAATTATACATTACAAAGTTAATGTGTTAATGGAATTTTGAAATAGGAAGTGAGAAGTGTGAATTGGAAAGTAGAAAGTATATAACAGAGAAATAGTGATTCCAAATAGACTTTGGAAAGTTAAGGATTTATTCATATCTAGGAAGAAATAAATGAAACACTAATAAGAAAAATAAGTTTTAAAAAGCAAAAAGGCAATGGATGAAGAACAAAGGAAAAACAATTAAGATTGTAGACTTAAATACAGCTGTATAAATAATTGCATTTATGTGAGTGGACTAAACACTCCAGTTGTGAGGAAGATAGCAGCTGAATAAAAAATTGGAAACCAAATATATGCTACCCATAAGAAATGTACTTAGGCTCGGTGCCTGTAGCTCAAGTGGCTAAGGCGCCAGCCAGCCACATACACCAGAGCTGGTGGGTTTGAATCCAGCCCAGGCCTGCCAAACAACAATGACAACTACAACCAAAAAATATCTGGGCGTCATGGCAGGCGCCTGTAGTCCCAGCTACTTGGGAGGCCGAGGCAAGAGAATCACTTAAGCCCAGGAACTAGAGGTTGCTGTGAGCTGTGATGCCCCAGCACTCTACCCAGGGCTACACCTTGAGGCTCTGTCTCAAAAAAAAAAAGAAATGTACTTTAATTCTGAAGACCTAAGTAAATTCAAACTAAAACTATGGAAGAAATACACCAACAAACATTGAACATAAGGAAAATGAAATACCTGTATTACTATCATATAAAGAATATTGGATGGAGCACTTCATAAAGACAAAGGGTTACTTCATGAAGATGGAACAATTATGAATGTGTGGTCATCTAATAAATGATCCCCAACATTCAGAAAGCTAAAAGGGCTATGGCATAGCCCAGTGCTTGCAGCCACTGATTAAACTTTAGCCTCAGTTGCATTTTATTCACTTTACACTGTCATATTTCAAGTGTTCTAGTTTCTTCTGTTATACTTGGAAGTGACTGTCACTTAACAATCTTTTTTTCTTATGTAAATTACATCTTGATAAAAAAATAATAAATTAAAAAAGCAAACTTGATAGAGTTGAGGAGATTACTACTTAGCTCTTTAAAAAATATAAAGTAATTTTACATAGAGTTTTATAGTTTATATGATACTTGTGTATCTTGATATAGCACTATATATGATTTTATAATTTCATATGCAGGTTTTTGTTTTTGGCCGGGGCGTGTTTGAACCTGCCACCTCCAGTATATGGGGCCGGCCGGCCAGTGCCCTACTCCTTTGAGTCACAGGCGCCGCCCCTAATTTCATATGCTAATTAAATAAAAAATGGTAAAGAATTTTGCCATCTATTAATTATGAAGTCAAGTATATGATCTCTCACGTTTCTTCTGTTCCTGGCTTCTATATCAGTAACCCATTTTGTTTGCGTATGTTTCCTTTTTAGATCCAAATATATAAAAAGGAGACGCAGGCTATCAACGGTGCTGGCTTTGCTTCATTGACATTTGAGGGAACTTTGGGAGCTCCTATCGTACCTCGTACTTCAAGCAAGTACTTTAACTTCACTACTGAGGACCATAAAATGGTAGAAGCCTTACGTGTTTGGGCATCTACTCATATTTCACCGTCTTGGACACTACTAAAATTGTGTGATGTTCAACCAATGCAGTATTTTGACCTGACTTGTCAACTTTTGGGCAAAGCAGAAGTGGATGGAGCATCATTTCTTCTAAAGGTATGGGTTTTTAAATACTTAATATTATAAGTTAGCATCACTTACACATCTATGAAGAGATTATATTGCAGCATTCTGATGGAATAAATATACACACTGTGTGTTATACCAGGAACTTAATATTTTTACCTCAGTGCTATTCTTGTACTTCTCTTTTTACACTTTCTGACCAGAAGTGTTATCAAGTCTTTATTTTAAATGTGGATAATATAATATAATATGAGTTATGCTTTATTTATGTATTTCTTTTACTAGTAGTAGTAAAATGTAGTAATAAAATAAGACTTGTTTTATGTTGTTATTTTTTACTCTCAGCCCTGAATGTGAATATTTCTGCTGCCCTGTCAAGATCACCTTCCTTCTCATTTACTTTCCTGACTCCTTGAAGTGGAGTTCTCTTCCCATCTTTTTCACTGCTTATTTCATGGCTAGGGGTGGACAGTTTTAAAGCATTTGTTATAGTTATGTTTTGTTTTTAAATCAGCAAGATAAAAAAAGTAACATAAGACCTATCTAATATTGGTTTATACCTATCCCAGTTTAGTTCATGAATAATTTTGGAAGGAGTTAGTTGTCTAGTTCCTTGCCTACACATCCTGTGGAAGATGCATTTGAACAAATACTGCTTCAGGCCCTGGTCCTGTGGTCATTTCCCTCCTCTGTTTAGAATAATAGGGCATAAAATGGAGTGCAGTGGCATTTGGACAGGTCTTGGAGTTTAACATTTTTATCATAAATACTTTGTATTAAAGAACAGTGAAGATAGTTTTGAAGTTGAAAATAGCAATATTTAATGTACATGGGAAATACTATAAAAAAAATTCATGCTATAAAGAAAGTTAAATAAGTCAAGTATGACAAAGTTGAAACCAAAGCAACATAAATTCACCCAAAGTTAGAAAGAATCTTGGGTCTTCCAGTCTTGCGCTCTGGCACAAAGTGACGTTGCTAACAAATGAACATTGCTAACATTGTTGATTCTACATTTTCTCTCTAAAGAAATACAACATATGCCTGCATCCCATTTTAACAGATAGCTTTTTTGCATAAGTGAAAACAACTCCCATGTTACTGTTATGTTAAATAATTTGATTAAAAATCATAATTTAGTATATCTGTAGAGCTAGCATGAGTCCACATTTTTCTCTATTTTCTTTATATAAATTATCTTTATGAATAATCTTATATTTTTTTAAAAATGTATATTCTACTTTTTAATATTCATATTGTTGGTGCAACCTCATTTTTGAGTGTTTTGCTTGTCTTATGTTTTATGTTTTTGCTTTTTTTGTACATTGCCCAAAGTCCTTGATAGAGCTGGTGGGTATTTTATATGTCTAATCTGTAATATGGTTTGGTGAACAAAAATACGTAATGTGAATCAGAAAATCATCGTATTAAAGAGACTTTCCAGATTGGCAATATTTATTTCTTTTATGGGAACACCAGAGCATGCTTTATAACTAAGAATGAGATTAAATCTCAGAGAAATATTTCAATTAATGTCAAAGAAATAAATCATTATTATAATTTTTAAAACATTCATAATTTTAGGCTGGGTGTGGTAGCTCACGCCTATAATCCTAGCACTCTGGGAGGCCATGGCCGGTGGATTGCCTGAGCTCAGGAGTTCAAGACCAGCCTGAGCAAGAGTGAATCCCTATCTCTACAAAAAATAAAAATAGGGGAGAGTTGTGGTAGGTGCCTGTAGTCCCAGCTACTGGGGAGGCCAAGGCAAGAGAATCACTTGAGCTCAAGAGTTAGGTTGTTGTGACCTACAATGCCATGCCACTCTACCCAGTATGATAACAAGAAACTCGGTCTTAAAGAAAAAAAAATTCATAATTTTATTAGGTGTATTTATATACGGAAATGTGTTAATACAAAAGAGTTTTTGTCAAGACCATTTTTGGTTGTTCTTATTATATAAAGCACATGACAAGAATTAGAAATTGATTTAAATCTTTAGTAAAACAACTGACTGGACTCCTACACATTTTTATTTTAATATATTATAGAATGAAATATTTGGCTAAAATTAGAAAATTATCTTTTGGAAATTATATATTTCTTTCAAACTCAAGAGGTAACAAAGTTCACTAGACAGATATTTGTAATAGAGAGATCAAAAAGAGTTTGCATGAACCCTAAGATAACAATTTGTTTTTTGTTTTTAAAAGAAATGGGGTCCTCCTGTGTTTTGTCCAGGCTGACCTAGGACTCCTTCCTGGATTCAAGGAATTCTCCTGTCTCAGCCTCCCATTAACTGGGACTATAGGGATGTTTCACTATGCCTGGCTATGCACAGTGTGTATTAAAGTCTGCAAAGATATTTAAGAAACTAGTTTCAATATTTTGTTATTTTTTGGTGGGAGAGACTGAGAAGATATGAACAAGGGAAAGAGAAAAACTTTTCACTACATAGCATTTTGATTCGCTTTCAAATTTCTGGGCAGTGTCCAAATATCAAATACCCTGTTAAAAGACTTTCTCCCACTTCTTATAGTTATGTTATTTTAAAATTTCTTTATTTATAAGCTTATATGAATATGCTATGTTTATTCTGTTTGTTCACACACATGTAAGGCTCTGGTCATTACCTGAAAAAATGCTCAGTAATCTGAAAAGAGAAAAGCAGAAAACAAAGGTTTTGTATTTGTTTTTAATAAAAGAAAAATGAAGTCATCAATAGGTTAGTATTTTTGTCTAGATCATGGCAGTGTGCCTTTTTCTTTCTATTATTCTGCCTTTTTCATATTACCCATAGTAATATGTATGTATTAATGTAATAGTTCTTTTACAATCAAAAAATCTTGTCATATTTAAAATATTGTTGACATTTAGAGGCATACTGTATTTCCCCGAACATAAGACACTGTCTTATATTTATTTTTTCTCAAGAAGACACACTAAGGCTTATTTTCAAGGGATGTCTTCTGCACTGAAATGCATGTCTTCCGCACAGATAGGCTGCATAGCCACCCCCATCACTAGGTCTTATTATCGGGGTAGGGCTTCTATTTAACAAATCCATAGAAATCCTGCTTATTTGGGGAGCAGGTCTTACTTTCGGAGAAACACGGTACATTTAACTACTTTTAAATAATATTAGCAGAAAATAAAACTTTTTGGCATAAGCAGTTTTCCCAAAGGATCATTAAACTGCTCTGTCCTCTTCCTGCAGGTGTGGGATGGCACCAAGACACCTTTCCCGTCTTGGAGAGTCTTACTACAAAACCTTGTGCTTGAAGGGGACGCAAGTCACATCCATCGGCTACAAAATCTGGCCATAGATATTCTGGTCTATGATAACCATGTTCAAGTGGCAAAATCTCTGAAGGTGAGTAAAAAATGTTTGTTACTTTATATTCTTATGAATTTTGGTGGTAAATTGTGGTAATAAGTGGTTACATTTATAGGTTATGTTTGGAGTCTAGAAATTAACTTCAGATTATTTTTGCTTGATTTTTAAGTTATAAAATTTATGTTTAAGTTATTGAAAGATGAATTATACATAGGTCACTACAAAAGTTTCAAGACAGCATCCTTTGTGATTCGTCCGTGCGAGTTTCCATTTGCTCACCTTGTCAGTGTTGCTAGGGGGGGAGGCTTCATTTGTTTCTGTCCACATGGATTTTACATTTCTGGATTTTTGTGTGTTCAAAACGTTTGTAATGACCCATAGTGGATTTAAATGATTTTTAAAAGACTTTTTCCTGAATGTATTAAAGATATACACAATTTTGCTATGAATATGGTAAGAAAAAATTTTGTCATATGAGGTATACTACTTTAAAATGGCAGAAGGAATATGAGATGTTGTCAACTTAAGTGGTAAGCTTGATGAGTTGGTTTGATAGACTATAGATAGTGGCTCACACCTGTACTTCTAGCACTTTGGGAGGGCAAGGCAGAAAGATCCACTTAAGATCAGGAGTTCAAGACCAGCCTGAGCAAGAGTGAGACCTTGTCTGTTAAAAAGAGAAGAAAAAATTAGCCTGGTGTGATAGTACATGCCTTTAGTCACAGCTACAATAGGGGGATCACTTAAGCCCAGGAGTTTGAGTTTGCAAAGAGCTTTGGTAACACGGCACTGTAGCAGGGGCAACAGGGTGAGACACTGTCTCAAAAAAAAGTCTATAAATGGTACCTCCTTGATTTTAGAACTTGATGTCACCTCAGATATAAATTGTGTGTCTGTGTGTAGTGTACAGTTTATAGAATTTGCATACTGTTTTTGAGATAGTTTTTTTAGGTAAATGTACACAGTTTAAATATGGCAGTGCTTAAAATTGTAAAAGTGATGAAGCTCTGAATTTCATTGCCCAGTTTCCCCTTGCAAATCATTGTCTCTGAGGGAGAGAATATTTCCAGTTCTACATTGTGCTACAAATAAGTTCACCTAATTCAAATAAATATGCTTGAACGTGGGGGTTAGGGCCCATGAAGATGTTCCTGCACTTTTTGTACTATGTAAGTGTATATATGGACATGCATACTATGTATATGACAGACCAGAAAAAACTGTTGAAAATATTCTTTTGATTCTTTTTCCTCTGAAAGAATTTATCTGAATTGACTACTTTATTTTAAAAGTAAAAAATAATGGTAAATTCAAATCCGAAGTCTTTTTAAATACAGAGAGAATTCTTCCACGTGAAGTCCCCTCAGTTCTGCACGCTGCCTCCTCCTGTTATCACTTATGTTCTCTTTCCCTGTGCTGCTCCCATAGGTCTTTTCCAGTTTCCTGCTTTTCCAGCTTTTTTTTTGTCTAAGGCTTACCCAGCATCTGGCACAGTGCTCTTCACATAGTAACGATAAAGTAAATAATATCTGCTCCTAAATGAATCAATCAGTGAGTGTAGACTGTTTTTCAGAATTTTTCCTTCCTGTTTTTATTGTCTGGTTTATTTTGCCCACTAGAGGGTAATATGAGCACATGTAATTAAGAAAATATATGGCACTTTGTTTCTCTCTAAAGATACCATAGCATTATATTATTTGTCTGCAAAGCAACATAAAAATGAAAAAGACTTTTTTCTCTGTATAAGTAATATAACTTTATACTTTTTGTATGTACACTGACAACACATTTATTTGTTTTCTGACAACCTTTATAACATAAATCTTCAGTCACAGGACATTGATAGAAGTGAATTCTCAACACTTCAGGACACCTGTTGGAAGTGTCATAATACGTAGAACCAATTCAAAACACTTTTGCTGTATGGGAGTGAGTGGGGAGGGATGTGTAGTATTAATGCAGTTGTAAAGTGTGATCAACTTCTGTAAGCAATACATTTTACAGCCTAATTGCTCTTACCTCTTTTTCTGAATCTTGGTTTTGAGTAAGGTATATGGCATTCCCGAAACATTATGTAGGCTCATGCACACAAACTGCACAAACTGACATTTGAAACCTTTTGTGTAGAAACTAAAGACGTATGTTGTAAGTCCTCACTCTTATCCTGACACAAGCTTTTACATAATTCTAAAATTAAAGTCATAATTATGTTTTGGCTTCATTAGCCCCACAATTGTGATTTGACTGGGTATTTGGGGGGTTTTTTGAGTGCTGTGGGGTCATAGCTCACAGCACCCTCAAACTCTTAGGCTTACGCAATTCTCTGACCTCACCCTCCTGAGTAGTTGGGACTACAGGCAGCCGCCACAACACCCAGTTATTTTTAGAGAAGAAGTCTCACTCTGGCTCAGGGTGGTCTCAAACATGTGAGCTCAGGAAATCCACCTGCTTCGGCCTCCCAAGTGCTAGGATTGCAGGTATGAGTCACCCTGCCTGGCCGATTTGATTGGCTATTTTGAGACATACACAGGAAATTAAAATTCTAAACCTAATGAAAAATTCTGGACAGTTTATGAAGAATATTTTGATTATTTCTGAAAGATAGTGATTTCTTACTGGCTCTGTTTCCTTCTATTTTTTTTTTTTTTTTAGTTTCTGTATTAAAATAGATTTCTATAATTGTTTTTTAAACTACTTTTATTTTTTGGTTATAGTTTCTTCACTTTTATTTTTGAAATCTTATCACAATACTGGCAATACAAAGCAGTATTTGTCTTTTATAATAGAGCATTTGGTACATTTCGTAGTGTTAATAGATTTAGTCAAGCTTTAAAAAAATGCAATGCTGCCTCCAGATGGAATTTCTGATAATAACAATTTGTTAACTGTACTCTATAGTCTATTCATGGCTTTTATACAATATATTCTATCTTATCCTTTAAATTTTGTTCCATTAGAAAATAATAAAGAAGATAGTATAATAAAAACCAAGAGTTTGTCACTAAGCTTACTCTAAGTGCTTTGCTGCATTTATTTCACATACTTTTAATTTTTAGGAAATTTGTTAGGAAATAAGACTCAGCTCTACACATTGAAACTCCCTTGGGCCTTGGGCCTCTGCCTTTTTTGTTTGTTTGTTTGTTTTTGCTCACCTCTCTCTATGTCAACATGTAGGTATATACGCCCATATTTATATGCTTTTAAGTTTTTATTTTATGTACTTTTTGATATAACAAAGCCCCCCTTCCTAGTCTTCAAAAGTGATGACTATTTCTATAAATGGAGTTAACTTTTTAGATTCCATGACACTGGGGATTTGGGTTGAAATTGCATTGAATTTAATGATTAGTTTGAAGGACTATATCGTTCTTATAATTGAAAGCTATTTTTTATGAACATGGTATCTTTGTCCATGTGTTTAGGCCTTTCAAATGATTACATATACTTGCCGTACTGCTATTTTAGTATATTTAAATATGGACATATATACACACATTAAAAAAGATTCACAAAATTACAGACATTCAAAAAGAATGAGGGCCAGGCAATGGCTCACACCTGTAATCCCAGCACTTGGAAGGCTGAGGTGGGTGAATTGCCTAAGCTCACAGGTTTGAGACCAGCCTGAGCCAGAGCTAGTCCTCCTCTCTAAAAATAGCCAGGCTTTGTGACTGGTGTCTGCAGTCCCAGCTACTTGGGAAGCTGAGGCAAGAGAATCACTTGAACCCAGGAATTTGAGGTTGCTGTGAGCTATGATGCCACAATACTCTACCAAGGGTAACAGAGTGAGACTCTGTCTCAAAAAAAAACCCAAAAAGAATGAGATAAAAATAGAAATTTTTATTTTTTTTCATTACTTACTTTGAAGACTATGAGGAAAAGTCTTCCCTGACTTTCATTATGCTACTCCCCTGCCATGACGTAGGTATAAGTGAAAGAAATTAGAGATAAAAGGCTAGATCCTTTATCTCCTATTAATAAAACCCATGGAAACGGAGGAATAGTATGTGGGAATGGTGATGTCTCCCTTTGCTGTATGTCCTCACATCTTCCTCCATCGGAGCTAGAAAGTAACGAGGAAAAATACAACTAAGAGAAGCTGCCTTAAGCAGGAGGGGAAAGTTGATTTACTGCTCATTCCTTTTTGATATTCTCTGTTATATACAGATTGAGCTTCCCTAATCCAGAAGTCCAAAGTCTGAAGTGCTCCAGAGTCTAAAAGTAAAAAGTTTTGAGTGGTAACAGAGACAGTGACATCTTTGTTACACAAATTTTGTTTCATGCACAAAATTATTTAGAATACTGTATAAAATTATCTTTAGGATATATATATATATATATGTGTGTGTGAATTTTGTATATAGACTTGTGTTCCATCCTCAAAATCTGAAACACTTTTATCTGGTTCCAAGCACTTTGAATAAGAGATGATCAACCCGTGTATCTTTTCTGTTACATACTATATCAGCACCATTGTTCAATCATGAACTGGTCGGAAAAAAAGCCCTATAGTTATCCAGCAGTCCAGAGTGCTGTTTGGATGCAAAGAACCACAACAACAAAACTTCAGATTTTCTACTGTGTAACTTTTTGTTTAGAAATCTTTCTTTATAAATGTGATTTAAGTTAAATAGCTTCTTCCTTTAGGTTGGTGTCAATATTTTAGATAGCATCTGCATCTCATTTGAAATTAAAAGAAAATCACAAATATTCTAATTAAAGACATATTAAGATTAAGTTTAGCAAAACATAACATTAACTATAGAACATTTTGTTCAAAATTCTAAATTAGTTTTATCTTAGAGTGTATTTCACACTGTGTTTGTGCAGGCACAAAGGCTTTATTGCAAAAGTTTTCTTCCTGTAGAACTTTGGGGATAGGGAATGTTTATTTTAGTGTCATAGTACATTTAAAACTGTCTTCTAGTGTCCTTATAGTGATACTGTGTCAACAACCATATTTAATGAATCTTAAACTAGTTAATTCAAGTTATTTTTCAGAAACTTATCAAATGGAGAGTTTCTATTTCATCGAGGTAATGGGTTTCCTAACTACTATTTTTTATTGATGAGAACACACAGTTTTTTAATATTTTAGTATCTCTGAAATGGAAATATATCTTCCCATTGAATGTGTGTTTGTGCTTTGATATGTATCCATGCAGGTGATAACTCAGCCACACTGGTATAGAGTATTCAGTATATTTTCCAATTGGCCGGTTCCCCTGGTTGTTGTTCATTGCCCCATGGTGGTTGTTAAAATTTTAAATATCAGAAAGTGTTTGATTTTTTCCCCCAAATTTCTAAATAGTAAATAATCTATTTTTAGGTGGGAAGCTTTATTAGGATCTACAGCCTCCATACCAAACTTCAGTCACTGAATTCAGAGAACCAGACAACCCTAAGTCTAGAGTTTCATCTTCATGGAGGGACCAGTTATGGTCGGGGGATCAGGGTCTTGCCAGAAAATAACTCTGACGTAGATCAACTGAAAAAGTAAGCATTTTATAGACCTATTTAGAAAATGTAAGAGGAGTATTTATCGAGCTATTTCTCAGGCAGTATTGTTCCTAGGCGTCTGATGGGTTTCTTATTCAGTCCTGTGCTTTGCTGCATATTTTTTAATAAGTGGGCCAACTGAAACATACCAAATGATAGTAGGTTCAAATAGCTATATGGTAGCAGAGCGAGGGCTACAATCAAAGTTGTACACTCAGGCTCCTCTTCTACCATTTGCCACGCTCTCCAAGTGCAGCCACATACAGTGGAAACTGGACCTTAGGCAAGGTTTTAAAAATTTTATGTACATGTAGGATCCAAGAAATACTTAATCCTGTCATGGAACAGTGTCTTTTGAAGTGCCTCTGACTAAATAGGTAACAGAAATATTTCAGCGTGTTATATTTTTAAAGACTTTTTAAAAACATTTTTAGGCTTCAGATATGCTCAAGAAGTAAAATAGCATCTAAAATCTTGCTGTTATTTTCAGTTTTCTATTTTTTAAAATATCACTAGTAGGTACTGTGTGTAGAAACATTTTGGCCAGTAGTGTAGAAATAAAAAAATTCTATGTTTTTAAAGAGATAACGTACTGTTTAGTAAGTTGAAATGAACTAACTATTATCTCAATTTTAATTTATTTAAATCGATATAAAACTTTAAGACAGGTCAACTTTTGTTTTATTTATTTTCACTGATTTAAATCTCATATTATAACATATCGCAACATAGTATTTCCCTTCTTGGATCTAGAGTGAGATTGTTCTGACTCAGAATGTCATCCGTTAAGTCCCCAATTTATTTTTGTTTATAGTATTTGTTGGAGGTTGGGGTGTCATTACCCACACCCAGTTGACCTGGTTCAATTGCTAAGAGGAATTAGACGGTTTCCCAAGCAGAGCAGGAATCAAAAGTAAAAGTGGGTGGAAACAGAAAGTAAAACTGAAGCCCAGGGCCATGGTGAATAGAAAGCAAAAGTAACCTGCATAAGTTTCAGTATAACAAAGAGATGACTAAACTGTGGTCTGTGCATACAATCAAATACTATGCAGCCATTAAAAAAGAAAATAGTGACTTCTATCTTTTGTATTAACCTGCATGGTACTGAAACACATTCTCCTCAGTACAATACCACAAGAATTGGAAAAGGAAATATACAGTGTACTCAGTACTAATATGAAACTAGTACCTGATCTGATTCACGCCTACATAGGACAAAAACTCATTTCAATTCAAGTTGGGTGGGAGGGGCAAAGAAGGGGTTTGGGGTGCTCCCACTTAATGGGCACAACGTGGGGGGATATGGCGCACTATTTGGGTGCAGGACACAATATAAGAGGTATTCCACCTAACAAATTCAAATATTGTGACTGGTTATTTGTACCCTCACATTAACCTGAAATAATAATAATGAAAAGAAAAAAAAGAACAAAGATAAAGCTTAGAGCACTTTCAAAGAGATTGGAAGTGGGGACCTTCTCACCGGTGACAAGTGGGAGAAATGGAAAAGCAGAGGCAGTGCAGAGGTTTCAACACCTCCCCACTTGGAATCGGCTGCAGCTCTTTCAGTGGCCTCTGTGCCTCCAGGCGTTGTTACCCTCTTCTATTGGTCATTGATTACTTAGGTTACCTTACACCCACATTCTTTCATCTCTTTTTAGTGAGACTGCTGAGTGGTAAATGTTCCCTTGTTTAGCAGACCAGTCTTTCCTCCCATCCCCCCTGTAGGCTCTTTGTGTCCCTTCTCAATATTTCATCATCTAACTCTTTCACTTGTATTTTGAGGGACTTTAGAACCTAGTGAAAAATGCATATACATACAGAATTTTGGAATTTTGTGGATAGAACTAAACTTACTGTGTCGACTTTGTTCTACAATTTGAAATTGTATTCTTTCAATTATAGGGCTTTACAATCTGCAGATTTGACGGCCCATCAACACTCAGATGATACCTGTCAATCAGAACCCGATGACAGCTTTCAAAGTAAGGATAGTTTTTAACATTGACAGTTTAGTTCCTGCTACATAAAATAATTTTATCAACTTAATTCTCTTTTTTAGTGTCTTTTCTCTCTCTCTCTTTTTGTCTCTTTTTAAAAAATCCACGGATGTATTCTAAAGGGACTTCCTAAATCTTTATCTGTGACCTATGCAAAAAGGTGAACATGCTTTCTTTTCAAATTGGGGTAGTGGTGATGACTTCATTATGTAATTCAGTATGTGTGTGTGTGTGTGGTCATAAGAAAATCTGTATTGAGTCTCTAGTCAGCTGTTTTCCTTGTCAGTTTCTAAAAAGAACAAAGGTTGTTTGTTTTGCTTTATTTCAAACAACCCAAGTACTTTTTGCTCATATACATCTTATATGTATGCGTAGTTCCCAGTGTTTTTTGAATTAATCAAGTACCTGATTATAAAATACTAACAAACAGTGGAGTGTTTATTTGTATTGTCTACCTAAATAGGTGACTATTCAAATCTAAACTTTAAAACTCTCAATGTGCAATATTTTCTTCTTCACCCTTACCCTGCTTGTACATTCTGGGACCTAAATGTAGGTCACGTTTCTATCTCACAGTATTTTTTGTCGGGGGAGGGCAGGGGGAATCTAACTGCTATCCTACTGTGATCTAAAGAACAATTTTATTCCACGCCGGTAATGATAAGCCTGAAAATTAACATCTCTTTCTTGGTAGGTACCTGCATGCATTATCGTTTAATCCTAACAGCACTCCTATGATATGTATTATTTTCCCTCTTTTACAAAAGGGAAACTGATATTTTGTATACATTTTAAATTAGCGGTTCTCAACCTGTGGGTCCTGACTGCTTTGTAACAATGAAAATACCTTGTGGCATTAGGAAGGTTGAGAACCACTGTTTTCAATTGATTTCCTCATTTGCTCTGTCTTAAAATTCTATTTCCCAAAAAAACAAACAAGAATAATTCTATTTCCTGGCATCTTGATGATAGCATCATAGTCTAACATATGATATTTTGCACTACCGCTTGGAGGCCAATTTAGTTCAATTAATGGTCATTCGAAGACAGTGATTTGTATGATTTGTAATTATACTTTTGCAATCTATTTTCTTTTTTTTATTAGATCATAACTGTATACGTTACTGCATTTATGGGGTACAATGTGCTGATTTTATATACCATTTGGAATGTTTACATCAAATTGGTTAGCATATCATTCACCTCGCTAATTTAATTGCTGTGTTCAGACATTTAGACTCTACTATAAATATATTCGACATGTACCCTTGCAATATGCACAGTAGGTGAGGTCCCACTGATTACCCTCCCTCCACCCATCCACCTCACCTTGCCCCTCCTCCTCTCTCCTTCTTTCTGGGCTATAATTGTGTTTTATCTTTCATTATGAAAGTGTGGGTGATTATATATTGATTTCATAATAGTACTGAGTACATTGGGTATTTTTTTCCATTCTTGAGATACTTTACTAAAAAGAATGTGATCCAGCTCCATCCATATAAACATAAAAGAGGTAAAGTCTCCATCCTTTTTGTGGCTGCATAATACTATTCCATGCTATACATATACCACAATTTGTTAATCCATCTGTGGGTCAGTGGACACTTAGACTGCTTCCATGACTTGGCAATGAATAGTACATGTCATAATGTCAAGTTGAATAGCTTTTCCTGTGCCCTTATGCTTTACACCCTGAGGTAAGAATAATAGTTCAGCACGTGAGTCCTTCAGTACCTTCATGTTTATAGAAATATCTATCAGATATCTATGTCTATACATAAACAAAGACAACTTTTCCCTCTTTCTTAAATTCAACCAAAGTAAAATAAAATCATTCTATACTAATTGCTTTTTCCTGTTTTCTTTTTCTTTCAGATGTGAGGTCTTGCTCTGTTGCCAGGGCTAGAGTGCAGTGGTGTCCTCATAGTTCACTGCAACCTCAGACTCCTCAAGCAATACTACTGGCCTTAGTCTCTCCTAAGTAGCTGGGACTATAGGACATGCCTGGCTGACTTTTCTATTTTTTTGTACAGGTGAAGTCTTGCTATGTTGGTGAGGCTGGTCTCAAATTTTCAGCCTCTGGTAATCCTCTTACCTTGGCCTCCCAAAGTGCTAGGATTACAGGCGTGAGCTACTATACCCACACACTTTCTCTAACGATATAGCACAGTGGGCTTTCTGGGCTAGTTTATATGGCTCACCACGTACTTTTAATAGTGGCATAATAATTTTTAGTATGTGTATAATATTGATTCAGCCATTCTCCATATGAAAGATATTCAGGCTATCATCATTTTCTTGCTGTTACAAGTAATGCTTTAATAAACTTGAATATCTGTACTTCCATCCTTATTTTTTCACTAAAATAAAAACTAACAATGGGATTGATGTATCTAAGGGAAGGTGCATATTTTTTTTTTTTTTTTTT